ATGCTTACCCTCTCCTCCCGTGGGGTAATTTTGAAAAATCCCTTCTTAGTGTGTGTTTTCATGACGTACCCTAACTGTGTACCAAATTTTACCTCTTTAGGTTCAGCAGTTTGTTCTGGGCGATAATGAATTGGTGAGTCAGTCAGTCAGTCACGACAAGTAATTTTATATATTTAGATAAATTTCTTTACAGATGAACAAATTGTTTATAATGCATTTAAAGATTTTTAACAAAAAATTTAAAAGTACATTTATTTATATACATTTTTTTAGTTTACTTTATATACATGTTGATTTTCATTTCTGTGAATTATAATTATATATAAATATAAATGTGGGCTTTAGACGAGTAGTGTGCAAGAAGTGAAAAGACAAAAGTTGGCAATGGCGTGAGAAGAGAACAAGAAGACGACAGTGGAAAAAGGCACAGAAAAGCATGAAAGACATTACAGTCGTAGAACATTATCGTTCTATCAAGAAGATGGTTTGCGGACAATTTGAAGATGCTGGAAGATTTTATTATTTCTAGTTCTCTATTTTGATCATTATTCCTACAAATTTTGGGGGTCCATCCGGGATTTGAACAAACTTCATACAAAAAGATTACAGTAGAGTGTCGATTATCCGAAACGTCAATTATTTGAAAGAATTCCAGTCTGCAAATTTAAATTTTTGCCAGTGCTGTGGCACTGCAATCTTTGGCTATGTCTTCGGGCTACTCAAATATTTTACATTTTTGATACTAAATTAACTTCTGAAGTATAATTTTTTTATTGTTTTTATATTTTTCAATATATTTATTTTGTTTGTACAAAATAAAAAAATAATTTTTAACGATACAATAGTCGTCGTTAGGCTTAACATCGATGAAAATTCAACACAAAGCGACACGCAACGGAGAAAAATTTCAACATGGGATAAGTTAATATATTTTTTCGTACATAATCGGTTATCCGAAATATAGATTTTCCGAACAACCCCAGTCCCCAATTGATTCGGATAATCGACGCTCTACTGTATTAAGGTATTTTGTAAAAAGGATACTATAGATTATAAAATCTATATGCTATAACAAATTGTTGTCAATAAAATGGATTTACGTAAGAGTATTTAATTTGCTGTGAGATGGAGAACCTGATTTTGCCCTATTTTAAAGAAATTTTTACCCTATTTCTCCATTGCGATCATTAAGAATACATCGTGCAGAAAACCAATTGAATATTATCCTTTTCATCAACAACTGTTAAAGAATTATAACAATCTGGTGTTAAATTATAACAACCTATTGCTAAAAGAGGGAAAAGTCAACCTTCCAACAAGTAAATAGGATGAATCTTACAAGTCTCAAACCAAATATGGTATTATCAGCTCCATTTAAATGACAGTTTAGCGTTACCTATGACCTCACACCTGCAACTTCATCTCCAAACATCCAATTACCTGATGGGTTTTCCCAGGCCTAAGGAGGATAAAGGAGGCTGGGACTCAAGTCTCGCAGCAGACATCCCCAAGACCTTACATGCAGACATATCCAAACTCGCCATATCCAGACGAACATCACCAGATGCCTTTTCAAGGTGGATCAGCATGGAAGGAGCTCTACCCACCAGCCACCAGCCTCTCCATACAGTGTGGACACATCCCTAGAGATAGACACCCATCTCGCTATATTCCAGCGACAGATCCGGGGTGAACCTCCACAGAGTGGATGGATCCAGCCATAGAGAATACTGGCTAGAACTGCCATACAACAAAGGAAGCCATAGACCATGGCTATCTTAGAATGTCATACAATCCTCCAGGAGAAATCAAGGACATCATCTCTTTCTCAGAGGTATTTTGGGTAAAACAGTTGTAAACTCTAACAGGGATGCACCTCATGCATGGCATGTTTACGATTAGTATTAGTATTTAGTTGTGTTTTTGTAGAATCCTGTATACTCTAGAACATCTATATTAAACTTTTGTTGTTTGTTAATCAGTCTACCTGTCTCTCTCAAACTACCAGACACCCTTTCAACTTACTCATTGTGCTCCCCACTCAAATGTTTTAAGACTCTCGTATTAAGCCATCCAGTGACAATGTGAGCGGTTTTCGCCAAACCGTTGCTGATTAAAAGATCTTTAGGGAACATCCCTTTGCTCCCGGCATCTCACATTGCTGTTGAGAGTGTTTTTTAAACTCTATTAATCATCAATATCAATATATATTATAAAGGTAAGTGTACAATGTGCGTGCTGCTAAAACTCAAAAACAAGTCCCGGTACGATCAAGGGAGTTATATGGTGTGGTAGCCCTGTATCCCCCATCCATGAAGAAGGTTCCCATTTTTACCTGAAGGGCATGCTGTTGAAGATATAAGGGCTGGAAGTTAAGGCTTACCCTGAAGATCTCGCTTCTATTGTACTATTTTTAGATGCAATGTTTTGCATTTTTGACTGCGTTTTAGTAGGCTACCACATTTAGTAGGGTACCACAGGGGATGAAAGAAGTGTATTCCTTAACAATGGAAGTGTTAAGAATGGAAGTGTTGAGTAACAATGGAAGTGTTAAGAGAAAGCAGCGTCCAAGATTTACAGGCGCAGATGCAGTTTTTTGCGTTTTTGCAGGAAATCAAACATATTTTTAGACCCATGTAAAAATTCTCTAATTAGTCTGGAAATGGGGGACCTAATTCTTGCATTTCTGTGAAAGTGGATAAGATTGGCTATAATGTAATTATCTTAATCTTTGCTATCGTTACTTTTTGCCTGAGCAATGCTGGGCTCATCTGCTAGTAGAGAATAAAATTTAATTATTTATTCTGTGCTAATATCTTATATTAGAAGAGTGAACAGTTCTAATTTTAAAATTATAGCTTTAATATATAAATTATTTAATGTTTACATCAAAAAGTATAAATGTAAGTGATAGAGTCAAAAATAAACTAAACTTTTAATATAACTTATGTTGTTAGTTTTAAGTGTTTACAGAAGACCAACTTCAAAATAAGCTCCTCCATCTGCTAAATACTTTTGTCAGCACTTATCCATTTATCAAAGCGATCCTGAGAGCTGTTTTTATGTTTTTTAAAGGCTTTGTTGCTTCAGCTTAATCATCAGTCCTGGTTAATGAATATCTGGTACAGAAGAGCATAATATTAATGCATCAGCTTACTGCTCTTCTCTGGAAACCCAGGGATTGAATTTAGATAATCAAAAATTTCCAGGAATTTTTCAGGGATTGGACTGTTTCAGATGAGTAGGTCATCTATCCCTTACTCAGCAGTTGTGGTCTTGGCTGAACTCAAAATGAACCTGAAAAAATGGCCATTTTTAATGAGTCAAAAAAGAAAAAAGTGCAACAATTACATACAAGTTGGTTGTTTTGCAATTCAGTGTTGTACAACAAATTCAGTTTGTAGAACATAGGAAATGGAGAGGACATAGACCCATATCTTAATTTACTTGTTAGTTTCACCTTTTACAGTTGTAATTAAAATTTGTTTCTTAATTCCCAAAATTTGTTAGAAAATGTAGATAAAATGCACATTAAGATGCTGCTTGCATATATGCACCCTGGCAGTTGAATTTTGAGTAAAATCTTTACCCAAAAATTTAGATTGTATACATTAGATAAATCTCAACTAAATTTGGTAAGCATATAAACAGTATGTCTTTATATATTTAGTTGAGATTTATCCAATAGTTCTTTCTACATAGTACTATGAATAACCACTCTTGTAATGGTCATGGTGATTGCTGTTGTTTATTTTTTTTCATTTATCTTAATTGAATCTTAAAATCCAGTGAATATGATATTGTGTTTTTCACACAATCTTAGTGCTTTTATTCAAATAAAACTTGAGTAAAGCCATTTTTATAATAGAAGAGATTATGCATCTGTTCTATATAGTAAAAGTAGATTTTGTAATTTACAGATAATATATTTTATACATCAGCAAGCTGTAATGCAAAGTTGAATCATCTTTAGATATTACATAATGGAAGAAAGTAAAATTTGTTTGTAGAATCATATACTTCAATTAATTGTATTATTTAATATCTTTATTCCAAATCTTAAACCTGACTTATTAAACAATAAAGTTAACAAAAGCTTTTGGTTCTTCAAAAACAAATTTTATTTTATTTCATTATGTAATATCTGAAGATGATTTAAACATGCACTGTAGATATTGTAATGTAGACAAAGTATATTTAAAAACACATGACTTCAGAACATCCTTTATTTGACAATTTATTACATTTGTCAAAACATTTCTTCAGTTGGCATTGTAATGTGTAAAATTCTAAAATATAAACTTATGATGACATTATTCTAAAAAGGAGCTATGGCTTGGAATACTTTTTACAATAAAACATTTTAAATAATAATAAATAAATAAATAATAAAAAAAGAGAGTGGTGGCCAGGAATACTTTTGTTTTGTTATAAAACAGAACAAAAGCATTCTTGGCCACTACTCTCTTTTGGAATAATATCATAAATTTATATTTTAGGATTTTATGTTACAGTGCCAACTGAAGAGGAGCTGTGCTTGAAATATGTTTTGGCAAATGTAAGAAATTGTCAAATAAAGGATGTTGCACAACCCTCTTTAATCCCTTTTTCACTACATGCTAACTTTACTCCATTGTACAAAGTTTGTCTGGGTCTTCCTCTCTTTTTCCTTTTTTTGGATTGTATTCATTGACATTTTCGGGAGTGAAGAAATAACTAGATCAAGAAAAAAAGAATATATAATGCTATTGTTAAAAGCATTCTGTTATATGGGGTGGAGAATGACTGCAGAAGAGAGGAGAAAAGTAACAATGGTTGAAATGGATGTATTGAGAAGATTGTGCAGAATCTCAAAAAGAGAAAGAATAATTATGTATTTAATATAATAAATTATTATGCTATTTAAGCTTATTAATTTTATATAATAGTTTATTAAATCATTAATCATTTTTCCTTTAAACTATTCTAAATAAATTATCTTATCAACGTCAACATTTTAGATAATTAATTATGGTCGGATTTATGGTGCTGGTCAACCATTTGCCCAGCAGTTATTAATGCAATTCAATCATCATCTAACACCAGAAGATGCTAAACAGAAAGCTAAAAAAATGTATACAGAAACTAAAGGAATTAGAAAACTGTAAGATAATACAAAACAAATCATGATTAAATTTTCTGTTTATTTGAAATATTGTTTATAGTATATACAAATAGCATCTATTATTTGAATATGTGTTACTTTTAGAGTTAATGAGTTTGAAGATGATAATGATGAACAAGATACAATTTTAACAAATAAATTTAAAAAAAGAAAGTGGATAGGTGGAAGGTAATTACTAATTGTATATAATTTTATTTTATCAACAATATAAAAATGTTAATAATATAGATATTATTAATAATTTATTTTAATAGTGAATCACATATGTTTAACAAATTAGAAGAAATTGCACAATCTTCAGAACCTCGAACACCAGTGCTTGGTTGTCGAATCAGTAAAGCCTTAGAACCTGAAACTGTGGATAAAAACGTATGTAATATTTGTGTTAATTTTTTGTCTTTTTACAAATTTTCCAATTTTTTTAAGAATATGTCAAAACAATGAATCTTGCTTACAAAAGAAAAATCCAGCTCATAACATAAAATGATGGAGAAAAACAAACATTTTCAATTGTCTTTAGCAATCATCTTCAAGTAAAAAACATATACTATGGAAATGGATATCAGAATAGAACAAGATACAGAAAGTTATAATTTTAAAAATAAAACGAATAATATCTGAATGACAGTCGATGGTCATGTGGTTGTATCAGGATGTAAAAAAGTAATATTAAGGCTGACATTTATAGTCTCTTCAACTTTGCCAATAATATTTTGATAAAATAAAATTTTTTGGCAGTTTTAGATTAGTTGAACCTAGTACTTCAATAGCAGTGTAAACAAGAATTTTGTATAATTTTTGAACTAAACTATGCACAAATTTTTTCTAAAAGTATACAATTAGCCTGTGTTAAAAATTCATTGGCGTTATGGTTAAATTCTAGGTTTTGAAGAATAACAAATTGATTAATTTTGTCTGTCGCTAGAAGACATAAACCATTAACATTGAAAAAATGTTTAATTTGTTCATATGTGGCTAGTAACTATCAGAACAAAACAATGACATGTTATGTTACTGGCAGTTATGGAGGATGCAAAGAAATTTAGGAGCTAAGTATTCAATGATTGTAAAGATGATGTGACTGCAATAATTGGTAAAATGAGAAAAGTAATGTTACTGTGTTTGAGTTTTGGTATGTATTTTGTATCTTTGATAATATGTTATAAACAAAGCAAGGATATCTATATTAGAAAAGTTTGGAATTGGCAATTTTTAATCGTATTTGGGCTGCAATTTGAAAAAATTTTAGACCTATAAATTCCCACTATCGACTGTCCGTCCATCTGTCTTTCCTTAATCTCAAGAACGAAGTTAGCTAGATGAAAGACAAAACCAGATATGGAAACCTTAGGGCAGTGGTTCTTAACCTTTTTATACTCGCGGCCCACCAAATATTTCATAATTTTTTTGTGACCCCTATTTTTTAAAATAATAATTTATATTTGTTAAATTATCTATAATACATTGATTTTTTTATTATTGCTTTATTTTTAAAATTCCAAGCATTAATAGTTTTTTAGAATTACTTTGGAATAAAAGAAGTAAATACTGCGGTGTAAGTAGCATATTTGCATTTATTTCTTCTGTACTGTACTAACAAAGTTGTAAGTAGGAAGAAATAAGAAATAAATAAAAAAACTAAATACAAAAACTTTATCTTTGTTATTTCACTTTTCAATATGATATTTGGTTATACATCAATTTTCTTTTTATTATATTCTGAAGGAAATTTTGCATAATTTGGCAGCCCCCCAGCAAACTTCTTATGTACCCCCAGGGGGCCGCAGCCCCCTGTTAAGAAACACTGCCTTAGGGGCAGGAGGCTCCAATTAACTATATATGAATGTTGATGCAAACTGGAATTGGAAGTCATGTTATTTTAATTCAAAAATTTTTCCTGAAAGGAATTAGTTAGATGACCAGCACAACTCTATTGTTGGGTTAGCCACTACTAATTTTAGCTAGAGAGCATATATTTGAAATTACATAAATTATAAAATATGATTAAAAATTTAGCCTGGTATTGTGACAATGTCACAATAATAATTGTTTGTTATTAGTTGAAAAGTTTCAACTGCCATTTCTGTTTCTCACAACTGAGAATTCTAAGGCTTCTGTCTTGTCGTCTTGAAAGTGCAATAAATTGACATGGATTGGTGATATTCAGTCCATCTGGTTGGATAGTATTTTTTCAATTTCGAATGCCTTACCTCTAGTATATTTCAGATATAACTTCTTATGGAGTAATCTGTCATTTGAGGGAATTGAGAAAGAAATGTATGGATTCAATAGTTTCCAAGCAATTTCTGAGAGATGAAATGTTACTGATTGAACTTAATGGTAATCCTCATTTGCACTGAGCATTTCAGTCTTGACTGAAACAAGGTTAAATCGTGATTTACTTGAGAGTTTTTGAAACTAGATCCAGTCATAAGAGAGTTCCCACAATCCCATGCGTGCGAGAAGAAACAAGATAGCTGAGGAGCATGTGTTGGGCTATCAACAGAGAAATAAAAAAGATGTTTGGAGAGACAACGAGATCTGGCTATTATTAGATATATGGCAAGAAAAAGTATTTATTTCTAACTAAAACTTCCATTTTGTTTCTTGTGCTCGTGACTTATCGAGTAGTTACATTAGTTTTATCATTGTATGCAATAGCCAGGTTTTTCTCACTGTCTATGTGAATAGCTCAACATTTGACTGGCAACAGTTGCAATCAAGATTGTGGGTGAATTGAGATCAAAGTGAGTTGTGGATTGTGTGCGAATGCAATATAAGATTAAGGCTATGAAGAGGTACAATGAATGTAAAAAACTAGATGGCAGTCTGCTTGAATGTAGACTTGAGCTCCATATCCTTGATCATATAGATATGATAAATCATTGCCATTCTGTTGAAAAAATTTTATTTCAATTGTGGCTAGATTTTTTCCAAGAAGTTTATGTCAGATAGAAAGCTTCTTTAACCATACATTTGTTACCTATAAGCAACTCATACTTTCCATACTCTTTCCAGCAAAAATTTTTAATAGAACAAATGTTTGCTGCAAAGAGCAGGTGTGGCATTGCTTATTGTTGAAATGTTCAAGCTTCTCAAAAGTATATCATTTGGTATCTTTTTTAGCATATAATGCAAAAATATGGAAGAATGCTTTAATGCTTTAAACAAAAAATGCTTGATGTTTTATCAACTATTGGTGAGAAAGCTTTATTAATAGTTTCTTCTAGTATTTTTTATAAAAATAGAAATGATTTCATTTTTGCTTACATTACTTGTATACATGGCATTTTTTTGATGGGATTACATATGTTTTTTCAGTAAGTCATCTGATATAGTTTGATACTTGGAAAGACCCCAGAAAGTTTCAGCAAGCACTTCAGGTATAATTTGACAATCTTCGTTTAAGCCTCAAGGTTAAATCTTGCTGTTCACAAAGTTTAACCATTTCTACAGTGATTATGAGTTTCTTCTTGGGCAAAAAGAACTCCTTTCAGCCCCCTTTTTTTTTATTTTACAAAGAATTCAGTCATTTACTGGATATCTTTTACTAATAACACAGAAAAACAAGTGTGTGAACTAAAAATGAAAATGCTTATATCAATGGTATTTTCTATTTTATTGAATCACATCTTCATTCAAAAATTTTATTTAACAATAAATCCTTTACAATATTACTAAGTTACTATTTTATTTGTTAACTTGCCAATTTCTAACTATGAAGTAGTTCATTCTGCATAGAAGTATGGTTTATATATCCCTATGGAACATTATAGAAATTTCTACTATATTCTACAAACTCATTTTTTTTTTATAACTTCCATTATCTTTCATTTATTTTTTTCAGTAACAAAGTTTATTTGAACTTTCCTGGAGCTCCTCAAATTGCTTGTTTATAATATTTTCTTGAACTTTCTCTCTTTTGCAATTATTTGTTCTATCTTGTAACATTATTAATAAGCTTTAATTTAATGAGTTGTTTTTTTTTTCTGTATTACACTCCTCAAAAGTGAAATTTCAACACCACGAAGGAATGTGCATGTGACCAAGGTTGGTAACTATGCCATGATGCGACCTCTCTCGACCGTTTCAATCTCGACTGAAACAAAGTTCAGTCGTGATCGACTCAAGAGAGTTCTTGAAACTAGATCCAGACATAAGAGAGATCCCACAATCCCACGCATGCAAGAAAATACAAGATAACTGCGGAACACGTGTCAGGCTATCAACTGAGAAATAAAAAAGACAACTAGAGAGACTTTTTTTTTTTATTTTTTTATTTTTATATTTTAGGTACAAAACTTAGTACATAACCTGATTCCGCTAATGGCATTATCAGGAAGTATAATACAGAATTAATATTTACATGTAATATCAAAATATTGTTTAAAACATTAAAAGATATTTAACAAATGTTAAGGTGGACAGTAAAAATAAAAATTAACATGAGAATAAAGTTTACAAGAAAGCCTAATTTCTTATCAGGGATAGAACCATAGTATTGTATGGTGTCAAGAGATGAATGTGAAAATTACAATAATGTAGAAATAATCAATGAAAGGCAACAGAAGATGTTGAGAATAAATGCACTAGTTGAAGTTCTGACTGTTATTTATATAGTTGACTTGTTTGCAGAGTCTTTCAAAGGCCATATAGGTGTTCTTAGAGGACCAAATCTCGGACGGCTTGCAAGGCCAAGCTATTCCTTGATCCTGTGTCGCCATTCGAAGTTCGAGTCGCTCCCTTTCAAAAGTTGGGCAACGGAAAAGATAATGTAACGATCCATCCTCTTCCATTTTGCAAGTAGGGCAGATCTTTGAGTTGCAATGATTGAATCTTTCTAGATAAGTGGCGAACTTGCCATGGTTTGTAAGAAACTGCGAAATGTAATGGGTAGGGCTATACCACTTATTATTATTAAATTCTTTCAAGTTTGTGATGAATTTATAAGTAATATGTTCGCTGTGTTGGTTCCACCTTTCCTGCCATTGATGGATGGTTTCTATTCTTAAAATATTGCAAATTATTCTTTTACTAATTTTATTGTATGCTATTGGTAGGGTGTCTTCCGCTGCAGCTTCCTTCGCCAGGAAGTCAGCTCTCTCATTGCCGATTTCGCCCTGATGGGCTCTTACCCATTCAATATTGTATTTGTTTGTCGATAAGTATATCAGCTCTCTTATTTTTTCGGCAATTGGGTGTAGATTTCTGTTTTTAATGGTTTGAACCGATGAGAACGAATCCGTATAGATGTTTATCTTGTTATTATTGAAGTTGCTGTTAGTATATTCAATGGCCATTTTTATAGCCCACATTTCGGCTTGAAAGATCGTACATTCGTTAAGCAAACGAAATTTACAGTAGTTTGT